TTTTGCTGCTTAACATATCTTTTTCTTCAAAGATATGTTAAGTATCCCTCTATGCTATGAAGCTCTCTATGGATTCCTGGAATTGTGACAGTCTACCTTTCCCTTTGCACTTGGTTTGTGTGTTATCATTTCACAATACACAGTGTTTCACCTTGTGATGATTTTCAAGTTATCTCTTAAACTAAATGAGAAACACCCAGACGATAGTCTGGCTTATTTCATGGTAAGAAGAAAAATATATCCTGTCTTCACTTCTAAATATTTTTTCTTTGACCAAAAGAAAATCAATTTTTATAGTAAAAGTAAAACATAAACTGGGAGCAATACTGAAACAATTTTCAATAGAGAGATCTGTTTTAGGAGACAATTTGTCATGTGTAGTGAAAGGCATTTTTTCTAGGAGGAGTAATTAAACTTGGCCTACAACAAAAATGAATATTCTTATAGCCCTCCAAAAAATGTCAGTTTCACAAATGAGCAATGATCTACAGTTCTTCAAATACACTAGAAAAATTCAGCTTCAAACAAGCACACATAAACAATGAATAAATTTCTTGATTAATTCACTGTTATTATGTTCTTTGAGGCTTATAATTCATCTAGATGAATTTCTACTGAGTAAAACAAACTCTTTGTTCATAACCAGTTTTGACCCCTAGTTTACAGCAATCAATTTGATTTTAAGACAAAATGAAAACTGTAGTTTATAATCATTTTATGACACTGAAAACGTATGATAACATGATCCCAAATTTCTGAGCTTTGAATTATTTTTAATATCCAGAGGGAACATAGCTTGAGACAGAGAGGTAATTTTGTATTCATGGGCCCCAACCCCTAATTTACCAGATAGGAAAACCAGCTAAAAGAGAAGGGGAAAGTATAAGTACATATATGGACACACGTGTGCATGCGTGCGTGCACACACACACACACACACACACACACACACTAGATGAGTATCCATTATCCAAGATGCTTAAGTCCAGAATGGTTTTGGATTTATTTGATTTTTGAATACTGTCATATAGATACTGAGATATTTTGAAGAAGGAACACAATTCTAATAGCTTGAAGGTCATTTTATACAACATATTTGATAATTTCATGCATGAGACAAAGTTTTGATAGCATATTGACTGTAACCCATTACATGAGGTCAGGTGTGAAATTTTTCTCTGTTGTTGTGTTAGCACTCAAAATGTTTGGGATTTTGAAGCTTTCAAATTTAAGATTTTTGGGTTAAGGATGCTCTATCTGTATACAGGCACACCTCATTTAATTGTGTTTTGATTTATTGTGCTTTGCAGATATTGCATTTTTTACAAATGAAAAGTTTGTGGCAATCCTGGGTTCAGCAAAGCTATTGGGACCATTTTGGTTTTTCTCAACAGCATGTGCTCACTTCGGTCTCGTGTCACATTTTGATAATTCTGGTGATATTTCAATTTTTATAATAATTATTATTATATCTGCTATGGTGATCTGTGATTGCTGACCTTTTTGCTATACTTGTAATTGTTTTGGGGCCCCATGAACTGTATCTATATAAGATGTTGAACTTAATCATATAAGATAGTGAACTTAATAGATATATGTGTGTTTTCTACTGCTCCATCAGCTAGTTGTTCACCATCTCTCTACCTCTCCTCAAGTCTATATGTTCCCTCACACACAACAGTGTTGAAATAAGCTCATCCAGCAAACCACATTGCCATGTATGTACCTATGCAACAATCTTGCATCTTCTTCACATGTACCCCAAAACCTAAAATGCAATAAAATATATATTAAAAAAGAAAGTAAGCTAATCAAAAACCCTAGAATGCCCCTTTAAGTGTTCAAGTGTTCAAGTTTTTAAATGGAGAAACTCTCAAGTGAGAGTTTCACATTTCTTACTTTAACTCAAAAGCTAGAAGTAATTAGGCTTAGTGAGAAAGGCATGTGAAAAGCTGAACTAGGCTGAAAGCTAGGCCTCTTGTACTGGTTAGCCAAATTGTGGATGCAAATGAAAGGTTGTTGAATAAAATTAAAAGTACTATCACAGTGAATAAAAATATGATTAGAAAGCTAAACAACCTATTGCAATTCTCAGCCAGAACATTCTCTTAAGCCAAAACCTAGTCTACATAAGGGCCTTAACTCTCTCCACTTCTAGGAAGGCTAAGAGAGGTGAGGATGCTATGGAAGAAAAGTTTTAAGTCAGCAGGGTTTAATTCATGAGGTTTAAGGAAAGAAGCCATCTCCATAACATAAAAGTACAAGGTGAAGCAGCAAGTGCCAATGTAGAAGGTGCAGTAACTTACCCAGAAGATCTAGCTAATGTAAATGGTGAAGATCGCTACGTTAAACAACAGATTTTAAATGTAGATAAAAACCACGTTTTATTGAAAGAGGATGACATCCAAGACTTTTGCAGCTGCAGAGGAGCAGTCAATGACTGACTTCAAAGTTTGAAAGGACAGGCTGACCCTCATTTAAAGGCTGATGCAGCTGGTGACATTAAGTTGAAGCCAACGTTCATTTACCATTCTGTCTGAAAATTCCAGGGCCCCCAAAATTTATACTAAATCTACTGTGTCTGTGCTCTGTACATAGAACAACAAAGCCGGAATGAGAGCTCACATGTTTACGACATGGTTTACTGAATATTTTAAAACCGCTGTTGAGACCTACTGCTCAGAATATAAGATTTCTTCCAATGTATGACTATTCATTGACAATACACCTGGACACCCAAGAGCTCTGATAGAGCTATGCATAAGATAAATGTTGTTTTCATGCTTGCTAATACAACATTCATCCTGCAGCCCATGAATCAAAGAGTAATTTTGACTTTCAAGTTTTATTATTTAAGAATTATATTTCATAAGACTATAGCTGCCATAGATTGTGGTTTCTATGGTGGATCTGGGAAAAGTAAATTGAAAACTTTCTGAAAAGGATTCATAATTCCAGATGTCATTAAGAACGTCTCTGCTTCATAGGAGGATGTGAAAATATCAATATTAAAAAGAGTTTAAATAAGATTGATTCCAGCCCTCACAGATGGGGGTTCAAGATTTAAATGGAGAATGTAGCTGCAGATGTGTTGAAAATTATGAAATAACTAAAAAGAGAAGTGGAGACTCAAGATGTAACTGAATTGCTAATCTCATAATAAAACTTCAATGGATGAGGAGTTGCTTCCTACAGATGAGCAAAGTAGTTTCCTGAGGTGGAAACTAGTTCTGGTAAAGCTGCTGTGAACATTGTTGAAGTGACAACAAAGGATTTAGAATGTTCCATAAACTTAATTGATAAAGTAATGGCAGGGATTAAGTACGTTGTATCCAAATTTGGAAGAAGTTCTAATGTGGTTAAAATGCTGTCAAACAGAACCACATGCTATAAATAAATCTTTCATGAAAGGAAGAGTCTAGGCTGGGCGTGGTGGCTCACACCTGTAATCCCAGCACTTTGGGAGGCCGAGGCAGGTGGATCACGAGGTCAAGAGATCGAGACCATCCTGGTCAACATGGTGAAACCCCATCTCTACTCAAAATACAAAAAATTAGCTGAGCATGGTGGTGCGTGCCTGTAATCCCAGCTACTCGGGAGGCTGAGGCAGGAGAATTGCCTGAACCCAGGAGGCAGAGGTTGCGGTGAGCGGAGGTCACGCCATTGCACTCCAGCCTGGGTAACAAGAGCGAAACTCTGTCTCAAAAAAAAAAAAAAAGGAAGAGTCTATGTATGAGGCAAGATTCATTTTTGTTTTAGTTGAGGAAACTGCAGTCACCCCAACCTATAGCAACCACCATCCTGACCAGTCAGCAGCCGTCAACATCAAGGCAAGACTCTCCACAAGCAAAAATATGATCACTCACGGAAGGCTCCGAAGGTTGTTAGCTTTTTTTAAAAATATATATTTTACTGCATTTTAGGTTTTGGGGTACATGTGAAGAACATGCAAGATTGTTGCATAGGTACATACATGGCAATGTGGTTTGCTGCCTTCCTCCCCATCACCTATATCTGACATTTCTCCCCATGTTCTCCCTCCCCAACTCCCCACACCCTGCTGTCCCTCCCCTAGTTCCTCCCCACAGACCCCAGTGTGTGATGCTCTCTCACTGGCAGAGATGGAGGTTAAAATGGGCTCAGCAACATGGACTTCCACTCACCAAGGCTGACCTGGCTATGGCCCCTGCTGAGTGCCCATTTTGGCAGCAGCAGAGACCAACACTGAGCCCTTGATACAGCGTAATTCCTCAGGGGAATCAGCCAGCTACCTAGTGGCAGGTTGATTATATTTGACCTCTTCCATCATGGAAAGGGCAGAGGTTTGTCTTTACTGGAATAGACTTTACTCTGGATATGGGCTTGCCTATCCTGTACACAATGTTTCTTCAAAGACTACAATTCGTGGACTCATAAGATGCATTATCCACTATCATAATATTTCACACAGCATTGCCTCTGACCAAAGCACTCACTTTACAGCTGACGAAATGCAACAATAGGCTCCTGCTCATGGAATTCACTGGACTTATTATGCTCCCTATTATCCTGAAGCAGCAGAATTGACAGAATGGTGGAAGAGCCTTTTGAAGTGACAATTACAATGCCAACTAAGTGACAATACTTTGCAGGGCTGGGGCAAAGTTCTCCAGAAGGCTATGTATGCTCTGAATCAGCATTCAATATATGGTACTGTTTTTCCTACAGCGGAATTCATGGGTCCAGGAATCAAGGGGTGGAAGTGGAAGTGGCACCACTCACCGTCACGGCTAGTGATCCACTAGCAAAATTTTTGCTTCCTGTTCCTGCCACATTACGTTCTGCTGACCTAGAGGTCTGAGTCCCAGGGGGAGGAATAGTGCCACCAGGAGACAAAACAACAATTCCATTAAACTGGAAGTTAAAGTTGCCACCTGGACACTTTGGGCTCCTCCTACTTTTAAGTCAACAGGCTAAGAGAGTTACAGTGTTGGCTGGGGTGGTTGACCTGGAACATCGAGATGAAAACAGTCTACTACTCTATAACAGAGGTAAGGAAGAGTATGCAAGGAATACAGGAGATCCCTTAGGGTATCTCAGTATTACCAAAAATCAATGGGAAGCTATAACAACCCAGTCTGGTATGGTCCAAACCCCTCAGGAATGTTTGGGTCACACCACCACCACAAACAACAACAACAAAAAGATTTGCTGAGGTGCTTGCCGATGGTTAGTAGAAGGTAGTCATCAATACTGACTACGACCAGCAACTAGCTGCAGAAACAAGGACTGTAACTGTCATGAGTATTTCTTCCTTCTTTTGTTAAAAACATATTTGTGTACAATACACTTGTACTAAAAAAAATTTATTTCCTTTTCCTTTATCATGTGACATAAGATTTATTGACTTAATATCAACATTTAAGTATTGTTAAGTTTATGTAATAGCATTTGAATTGGGAATTGGTGCATTTCCGGTTGTATGAATGAAAGTTGTATTATGTTAGGTGTAATTATGACCTTATTACTGTCTTTATTTGAAGATTGTGTATGATCTCAGGAGATGTGTATGTGTTCAAGTTGACAAGAGATGGAATTGTGATGGTTAATACTAAGGGTCAACTTGACTGAACTGAAGGATCCAAAGTACTCATCCTGGGTATGTCTGTGAGGGTGTTGCCAAAGGAGATTAACATTTGAGACAGTGGACTTGGAAAGGCAGACCCACCCTTAATCTGGTGGGCACAATTTAATCAGCTACCAGCAAGTATAAAGAAGGCAGAAAAAAGTGAAAAGGAGAGACTGGCTTAGCCTCCCAGCATACATCTTTCTCTGGTGCTGGATGCTTCCTGGCCCCAAACATCAGACTCCAAGATCTCCAATTTTGAAAGTTGGATTGTCTCTCCTTGCTCGTTAGCCTGCAGTCAGCTTATTGTGGGAACTTGTAATCATGTGAGTTAATACCCAATAAACTCCCCTTTATATTTATCTATCTATAGATATTTATAGATATCTATAAATAGATATCTATAGATAGATATGAAGGGGAGTTTATTAGGTAATAACTACATATATATATATATATATATATATGAAGAGGAGTTTATTAGGTATATATATATATATATATAGAGAGAGAGAGAGACAGATAGACATAGATATAGATATATAGATATATATTTCATTAGTTCTATCCCTCTAGAGAATTCTGACAAATACGCTGAACTCATTGCATCTCATTTTAAACTTTTTTTTTTAATTAAGACAAGTGTAGGAGGCTTTTTTTTTTTCAACACAATTTGGATCTTCTTAGATTCATAAGAACATCTAGAAATATAATCAAATCCTAGGATTTCTGTCACTTCACTGTGAGAATTTCTCCAGCCTTTCTTCCTCTAAATCCAGCAGCCAGAAGCTTATCTTGCAAGTAAGATCTGCTTACAGACCCAACGGCAGCTACTAGTTTGTCTTTCCTGAGTGTCTTTCCACTTTAAAGAGTAAAGAAAGAAAAGTCATATGCATTAAGTGTATACCAGGTGTTCTCCCATATATAACTTCATCCTCAGCTTTCCTCTGAAAAGAGAGGATTATCAGTGCCTTTATCAGAGGAGGAAACTGAGGAGTTGAGTTTTTGAAGTAACCTCTGCAACAACATTCGGGTAGCAAGTAGCAGAATGTGTCTGACTCCTCAAGCTGTTTTTTGATGCATGACACGAAGATGTCTCTAAGCTCCTGACAGTTTTTCTTCTCTGCTTTCAAGTCCTGTTTCTTTGGAAGCCTCTGAACCAGAAATAGAGGGATTACTGTCACACTCTGTCTCTTCCCACTGTCTGCTGCTTACCCACCAAGTCAGCCTTTCCAAACTGGCATTCCCTTCATCCTTCTTGTCATGCTGCAGACTGAAATAGAAAATATGGTGGGATTTAAATAATTTTTTTGCATATTTTCCACAGAACTAGGTTTGTTAAGATAGTGAAAAAAATAGAAAGAAAAAAATACTGTTTTATCTTCCTTATGAATTCAGCTTATAGATTAAGAACATGTTTAAATCTATGTGTTTCAGGGAACACAAGGAATTCTAATCCCACTTAACATGCACTTGATGCACATTTGAGAAACTGTTGTTCTTATCAAATTATGAATATAAACTCATGCATTTGGACAGACATAGATCTTCATATCATATTGTAGAAAAAATGACTTCTAAACATTATAGAACTTACCTTATTATAGATAGCAGAATTTCCATTATTGTTGAAGATCTGAAATTAATTTATTATACAATTTAGTTTTTTTCCCCACTTCTGTGTTTCCTTTGTTTTTTCCTCCTTTTTATGTTTGTCCTGAAAAGATTTAGTAAGTAAGCCATGTGTCAGGAGTTGAGAACAATGAGGTGACTAAGGTAGGACATTTACTAAAATTTACTCTGTCAACGTTGCAGGAGAACATTCATAAATGTCAAACATTCACAGGGATAATAACACCTAGGATTTGTTTAGTATGTGAAAAATCACAATTAATTAACTAAGTCATTTGATCTTAACAACCACAAAAAGTAGGGCCAACTGAGCCAAGACACTGCAAAATCTGCTGGCTCTTTGTCAGATTGGGCAGAGGACCATAAACACTGCTTCCCACAGGCATTTTAAAAATAAATTTCCAGAGAAACAAAAGCTGTTCCAGGGGGATGATGGAATCCCAGTTTATCTAAAGAGTGGGGTAGCTGATGTCCTCCTGTATAGAGCCACCATGATTCTTTCAGTTGGTAGAACAGCATGTGCCATATATCAGCTGGCTATGGCTTCATTTCCCCAAGAAGCAGCATTGACTTCAATCATTCCAGCAATCACTTGGTTCAGTTTCATTCAGCTCTCTATGGCCCAATAACCTGATAAATAACTGAGCTCTTCTTTGAGGATTAATATTTATTGACTTGTACTAAGTGTCACCAATAAAGCAGTCTTTACCATGAAAAAAAAAGCTAGGGCCTCTTTTACTCATTTAACTGATGAGGAAACTAAAGTTCAGATAATTTTAGTGACTTACTATATATCACACAGCAAGTAACAGATGGAGTCAAATTAGAATGCTAGTCTACCTGACTCCAATGTCTCTGGTGAATTATGTACCAACCATGGTCTTTGCTTCCCTTTATGCCGTAATATTGTTTTTCTTCTTTAGCTAATTAAACAAACATAATGTTTTAGTTACAGAACATTAGATTTAGAAAATCAAGAACCCTTAGGAATATATTGAATTTGTGTTTTTAATCATAAAACATAAACTAATTAAATCACTTATCAGACATACATAATTGAAATAAAGAATACCAAGTAGAATAAAGTCATTTTATTCAATTGAAAAACCATTTATGGTATCCTATGGGCAAAACACAATTGAGAATATAAAGATTAAATAGATAGACCCCCAGGACTTAGAGCTTAGAGTTTTACTGGGGAGTCAGAGGCATATAAATGACTTCAGTAATACAGCTAATGATTTTAAATACAGTAAAGAGTGGTTCAGAAAACAGTGTGAGGAGTTTGTAAGAAAGGACACATTAGGTCTCCACAGGAACAATTGAATTATACTTTTTAAAGGGCATTGGATCTAATAATTTTTTTCAAAACAGAGTTTTGCTCTTATCGCCCAGACTGGAGATCAATGGCACAATCTCGGCTCACCACAACCTCCTTCTCCTGGGTTCAAGTGATTCTCTGCCTCAACCTCCCAAGTAGCTAGAATCACAGGCACCTGCTACCATATCTGGCTAATTTCTGTATTTGTTGTAGACATGGGGTTTCCTCATGTTGGCCAGGCTGGTCTCAAACTCCTGATCTCAGGTGATCCACTCGCCTCTGCCTCCCAAAGTCCTGGGATTATGGTCATGAGCCACCGTGCCCAACCAATAGTAATTTTTAAAAAATTAATAAATATTGCTTCAATAAATAGGCAGAAGCCATTGAAGACAGTGTGAATTGTTTGAGCAAAGGTCATATCTAGTGCTTTTAAACTATTTTCAGTCATGGTCACCAATCTGTAGATTGGTAACCATGGCAAAATAACCAAATATCTTTGTCTAATTTCTCGATAATGACAACAGTAATACAATGAATATTTAATCACATCAGTAGGCAAAAGATACCAACAAATTCCTTGCAAACAAAAAGTATTGAGTTGACATCCAATGAAGTAGAACAGGAGGAATCATATTATACAAACTCATTCTCATAATAATGTCATCAAGTAGACTCACAGAAAAGCTCATGATTCAGCAGATATCAATGGTTGGAGGACTGGGAAATTAATGATAATTATGCCACTTGATCAATCAAATATCTTTTTTTCTTTACTGAAACTATAATATTTACAGTAGCTTATCACATACCCACGAGGCAAAAATAAAGAAAGAGGTTGAGAAGGGAGGAGATGAAAGAAAGAGGAGGAAATTCCTTTTAAAATCGTTGAATGGCCCTACGGAAAAATTCTCTTTGTTCCTGGCAATAATCCATCTCCTGGTTTAATAATCCACCATTCCTCAAGCCCTGCCCAAGTATAGAAAGAAGTACAGGACTGAAGACAGTAATATTAAGTCAAAGTCTGCATAAGAAAGAGTTGTACAACTAACTTTACTCCTCTATTAGACTCGCTGAATTCCTGCAATCAATTTTATAGCCTATAGGCAAGTTAACCCTGTGTAATATGGGGATGACATTTAACCTTCCCAAACCTAATTTTTCTGATCTTTAAACTGAAAAAGATAATATATAACCTCTCTATTTGTTAAAGACACTTTATTAAATCTAATGTGACAAACTTTGTATGAGAATTATCATATCCAACGAAAACATGAAGGAATTAGAATACATATATTCTGAGTTCACGGAACATTGGGTTGCCATGTGCAGAAGAATGAAACTAGACCCCTATCTCTCAACATATATAAAAATCAATTCAAAATGGATTAAAGACTTAATATTAGACCAGGGACTATAAAAGTACTACAAGAAAATTTAGGGAAAGCTCTTCTGATTTAGGCAAAGACTTTATGACTAAGACCTCTAAAGCACAGGCAACAAAAACAAAAATAGACAATGGGACTTCATTAAACTAAGAAACTCCTGCACATCAAAAGGAACAATCAACAGAGTTAATCAATAACATGCAGAATAGGTGAAAATAATTGTAAACTATTCATCCAACAAGGGACTAATGACCAGCATATACAAGAATCTCAAACAACAGAAAAACAAAACAAAATAAATAATCTCATTAAAAAGTGGGAAAGGACATTAATAGACATTTCTCAAAATAAGACATACAAATGACAAACAGGCATATCAAAAAATGCTAAACATCACTAATCATCAGAGGATGCGAATCAAAATCACAATGAGATATCATCTTACCCCAGTCAGAATGGTTAATATTTAAAAAGACAAAAAATAATGGACATTGGTGAGGAGGCAGGGAACTCTTTTATACTTTGGTGAGAATGTAAACTAGTACAGACACAGTGGAAAAGAGAAAGAAGATTGCTTAAAATACTAACATTAAAATTACCATATGATCCAGCAATCTGATTCCTGGGTATCTACCTAAAGGGAAAAAAAAGAAAGAAATATCTCAAGGGCATTCACATCATTATTGCATCAATATTCACAATAGAAAGACATGGAATCAACCTAGGTGCCCGTCAGCAGATGAATGGACAGAGAAAATGTGTATATTACCATAGAACACTAGGCCATAAAAAATGATATCCTGTCATTTTCAGCAACTTTGATGTAACTGGAAGTTATTATCTTGCATGCAGTAAGCTGGGATCAAAAAGAAAAATATCATATTTTCTATCATATTTATGTGGGAGCTAAATAATTTGATCACATGGAGGTAGATTGTGGAAGGACAGATAACAGACTGGGAAAGGTGAGTGGGGAAGGGAAGGATGAGAAGTCTGTTAAAGGACACAAACACGCAGTCAGACAGAAGGAATGAATTCAATGTTTGATAGTAGAGTGGGATAACTATAGTTAAAAAAAATTGTAATTGAATGATGGACAACCTAACTACCATAAATTGACCACTGCATATAGTTTCCAATAATGAAATTTTACATGTACCCAGTAAATTTGTACAATTTTTTAAAAGATAAATTATGCAATTTTTCAAGAAATTAATATTATAGTTATAAAAAATACAGGGTGTCATTAATTAAGATGTATTTTAAACTGACTATCTTCCTAAGAGTTTAGAGTTGATTGTATCTAAGCTAGTATTTCAGCTGGGCCTTCAGCACTGGTGTAGGATTTCATGAAGAAAGAAGACTACACATGGTATAGGCAAAAGCACAGGAATAGAAATAATTCAAATGAGTTTGGAAATTAGCTTGAACGGAGTGAGGCTTCAAAAACAAGGAAATAATTGGGAATCAGATTGAAAGGGTAGATTAGGAAAGGTGATGCCATTATTTTATAGATTCAGACAAAAACATACACATTTTGCCTGAAGTTACTGGAAGATTGATTGCAGCAGAGTAGAGTTTCATATGATGAGGATGCTATCAATAAATAAAGTTTTAGCAGACTGAAGATTAGATAGGTAAATCCACATCAATAATGTAAGCCTTCATATTTGAGCAAGCTCTCCTACCCTATAATACATACCCATTTGTGTTAACATGAAACAGTCATTATCAGAATGTTCATAATACCTGGCCTTTACAGAGAGTGTCAACAAAATTGGCTCTACAAGCATTTCTTATTCCCCACTCACTGCCATGGCATGGAGAGCCTAACGAACACTCCCTCCTAATATGAGTACCACTGATCCACAGAGTCTCTCTAGGCTTTACCTTCTCATTCATCCTTTCAAACTGTGCAGTCCATTCTGTCTGTCTCCATTTCCAGGACCTTTACTGACAGAGATTTTCTAAGCACTTTGTCCCTTGGATTGATGCTTTGGATTAGTTCCTGTCTCCACCCTGGCTTCACCAGAGGTACTATATAGTATTTTTTCCCCTTGTGTTCAGAAATGGGAGTCAACCCCACTTCTGCCCCAGCCTCCAATTCCTAATGTCAGTCCATACAAAGCCCGAGTTCTCCTCTTTACTTGAGTAGGGCATTCAAACACTGACTCCTTCCTTACTTAATGCTAGGCCCTCTGCTAGGTGCTTTAACTAAGTAGTTGTTATTAACATGCACAACAGTTATGTCATATCAATTTAATTATTTCCATCTTCTAGGTGAGAAAATTAAGTTAAATATTTCAACCAGGTATCCAGTCACACAGCAAGTAAACTGGATTCCCAGTGAAGTCTGCCACACTCCATAGCCTGAACTCTTTCCAACTCATCGCATTGCCTTCACCTTTTGGGTTTTCTTTGCCATGCACACTCTTTGAATTTTAAAGATATTGATCATGTCATGCTGTCTGCAGGATAAACAACTTCAATCACTTCAACTACTTATCTCTGAATATTATCTTCAGTCAGCTCCTCATTTACCTGCTTTTTTTCTGGCCATAATACACAATGAACTGTATATCCATATGATCCACTATGACTATATACCTATATGCAGATGTACATATAGTTGGCTCTACTTATCATTCCTCTGAAATATACTATTGATTTGTTGAGAATAGCAGTTTAACAGTTGTACCCATTAATATTGTGGCTTATCTGAAGCATAGAATGGCAATTTGGTTCTATGAGTAAATAGAGAATATTCTAATGTAAGCATCGTTTTCTTTAATTTTACCTTGGTTGTTGTGCTTTGAAATCAGTGTGAAGAGAAGCAAACAAATAACATATTTGGTGCTGCACAGCATTAAAGACAAAATGTGCTATAAACAAAGATTTTATATTTTAAAACAGGGTGAAGGAGCAATTTTCTTTAAAAGCCAGTAATTTGCTACTAACTACTAAGGGAAGATGCTGTTCCTTTGTTGGCCCATCTTCATTGCCAATCTGTTTTTCT